CGGGGGGTGAGCGTCCCCAGGGCGCCGCTGTGCCTGGGCGAGTTCGAGTGCGGGCCCCCGGGGAGCCACAGCTGCAGGTGCACTCGCCAGTTTTAATCATCGGGAACCGAATCAGGTTTTGCGTTTTGGAGGGGTTTAGGGAAAACGCCGAATTTCTCTTCCCCGGGCTAAGTTAGACACGCGCTGTGCGCAGCCTTCGCCTCCGGGGGGCGGGCTTTCTGTGCGCGGCCCGGAGAACGCGGTAGAGCCTGCGAGGGCCGGTTTTATTTCCCGAACCCGGAGGGCCCACCGTTTGGCTACAGTATCCCCTGCACAGGAGACCAAAAAGTATTAAGAACATGTATTTGCTTTAAAAATACTAAAAAAATCGACAGTTAAAGGCCCTCCACTCGATTGTAGTAAGAGTAACACGATTTTCTAGCCAATTTTGAGGGATACATTATGCAGAAATGGTGCAGCAGGTTTTTTTTAAAAATCTTTACTCGAGAACATTTTTTTAATTGCTTTTTAGAGAGAGTGGAAGGGAGAGAGAGACATGGATTGGCTGCCCCCTGCCCACGGGCCGACCAGGCCGGGGTCAGGCCTGCAACCGAGACACGTGCCCTTGGCCAGAGCTGAACCCGGGGCCCTTCCGTCCAGGGGCTGATGCTCTAACCACTGAGCCAAACCGGCCAGGGCGGTGCAGCATAGTTTTAATAAAAATTTTATTTTATTTTAATTTTTTAAAAATATGTCTTTATTGATTTCAGAGAGAGGAAGGGAGAGGGAGAGAGAGAAACATCAATGATGAGAGTCATGGATCGGCTGCCTCCTGCAGGCCCCCGACTGGGGATCGAGCCTGCACCCCGGGCCTGTGCCCTGACCGGGAGCCGAACCCCGATCGTCTGGCTCCTAGGTCGACGCTCAACCGCTGAGCCGCGCTGGCCGGCTTAATAAAAATTTTAAATGTTGCTGCTCACAGGTCCTCTCAGGTGTTGCCCTGAGTTTTACCTCACTTCTGCCATTTCGCCCCTCAATAGTCGTCGTCGGGAAAGTGTCCCTCTTGGGCCAAAGCCTGTGCCAGGGTGGGCTCTGGGTCACTGTTGCCTTTAAAATCAATCACGCTCTTCCCGGAAAATGCACCGCTGTTATCACGGCAGGAATCGGGGGAGAAAGTGGCCGCGGTGGTGGGTGTGGGGTCCTCAGGCGGCAGGTGGAGGGAGCAGAGGCCCAGCCCCTGGTCCCCTAGGAGCCTTCAGTTAGCGGAGGCCTGGGGGACACTCGGGGGCTCGCACGGTGCGCGGAGCCGAGGCCGCAGCTCCCTCGCTCCCTGTGCAGGTCCTCTCGCCTCTCTCGGACTCCATCCTGGCTGAGAAGACCGTGACGGTCCTGGAGGACCGCGTCACCATCGCGGACCTGGGCGTGCAGCTGGTGGCCGGCCTGTCTCTTTCTCTGCAGCCTCACCGGGCCGACCGGCGGGCCCTCGTCGCCACGGCGGCCGCCCAGGACGTCCTCCAGGCCCCGCGGCAGGTGAGACCCCGGAGCCCTTCCATCCCCGGTCAGCTGAGCCCACCTCTCTGTCCTCACGTCCCGCGGGGAGGCCGGTGCAGCCCTCGGAGCTGGGACTGTGGGTTCTCAGAGCTTCCGCCCGACGGCGGCTCCGTCTCCAAGTGCTCAGGGCCTCAGACACGTTCCTCGTGTGTACGTTTCTGTTTTGTTGTTGTTGTTAATCTTCACCGGAGGATATTGTTTCCATTGATTTTTATTTT